ACTTTATATACATACTACTGTAAGTAACCATGAAAAGTAAGACAATATGAATTTATTATTTCCTAACAATCATCATCTCCATGCCCATTTGTACAGGAGTAGAAAATGGGGTGGGAAATAAGGCTACCAACTACACAGCTAAAATAATTTTAATAACTTATATTTTTGCTGTAAATCAGTTTCTCAACCTTGGCAATTTTAGATGTGTGGACTACAAGTCCAAGAATTCCCCAGAGAAACACTGCTCTAGATTAAAAGAAATACCTCCTTGATAGTCTCAGAAAATATTGTGTGCGCTCTCAGAAAATAGTTGCTACAGCAAACTAGTGAGACTAGAAGAACCTAAATTCAAGATTCTGAGTCTCATTTGCTTTTTTAAACCCATCGTTCTCTGTCTCTTTCAAGATTATCTCACATTCTACAGATCTAAGATGAGGAAAAAATAAAGGGTATGAAAATGTAATGAGTATCAGAAAATAAAAAAGGACACATATATGTAGTGGAAACTGGACTGGTAACAAGGAAAAGTATACAAAAATAGCCGAGAACTAGAAAAAAAGTATCAGGAAAGCAAAAGCTCAGAATGAGCTGAAGTGAGCAAAGGAAGGTAAGAACAATAAAAAAAGGTTTCTTTAGATAGGCCTGAAAATAAAACAAAACAAAGCAGCTGTTCCCTAAGGATAGCAAAATGCTAATAGGTAAAAAGAAAAAGCAATGATACCCAGTTTTTTATTTTGGCTCAAACTTTAACTGAAGGGTATGTATTCCACCAAGCGCTTCTGAAGTGCATTATTAAGAGACAGGAATGATGCTTGAGATTGATGGAAAAATAATAAGGGAATACTTGTTTACTCAGAGTAAGTTGTTCTTCATCAAACTGCAATGAGGCATCAAGAGGAATACCAGAGATTCAGCCCTGGGTACTGTACTCTTTTTATGAATGATGATAAAGGGATGGTGGCAGTACTTGTTAGATTTGCAGGTGAAACAAGATTAATTGGGATAGCTAACACTGTAGCTTGGAAGACAAAAATGAGCAAAATTGATTTTTACAGCGATAAATACAAAGTTCTTCATATAGAAAAGAGAAATCAAATGTAAAGTTATATAATATATGATAAATGGCTTGATAACAGTTGTTGTGAAAAAGATCTTGGAATTGACTGCAAACCGAGCATAAGTCAGCTGTTACATTGGATACAAACAAAAAATGCAATTTTAAGCTATGTCAACAGAAGTATAGTGGAAGTAATAGTTCCCCTCATGTGCATCAGATTTCACATTATGTCTTCTTCCAAAAACGAATCTTTAGCAAGGATTTAGACAACCTGACACAGGTACAGAGAATGGCCAGAAGGATAATAAGGGGATTAGAAACTAGGTCCCACAACGAGAGATTGAAAGAACTGGGAATATTTAGCCTCAAGAACAGAAGATTGAGGATAAATGTATTCTTTTAGTACCTAAAAAAAATTAGAAGGCAGCAAAGACCTGCTCTCTGTCACTGAAGCATCCAGGATCTGGAATAATGAATTCAAATTGCAAGAAGGCAGATTCTAACTGAATGTTAGAAAAATCTTCTTAACACTAAGAGCAGTTTGGCAGTGGAGCTAATTATCCAGAGAGTTGATGATGTTCTCTTCCCTGGATATGTTCAGATATTAGATGTACACTTGTTGGAAATTTGGATTTCTGCACTGAACAGGTTGTTAGACTTGTTTACCTAAATGGATTTTTCCAACTCTATGATTCTGTAACATCTATTTATCCTAGTCACTTATTTATCTCATACACACTCATTTACTCACTCACATATGCAGCATTGGCTTTCTCATTTTCTAGGTCACTCCTGCTGCCATTCCAAGAGGTTTGGGCAGGTGGCTGATTGCCCAATTATTAATCTCTAACTGCTCCAACATCTTTTCTTCACTGAAGAATCCTTTTCTATCTGTGTAGATCCTAAAGGCTTTATGTGACTAAATAGAAATAAATAAAATGTGGAAAGGAAAAGGAAACAGTAAGGCAGCTAAAGCCAGCGCTCTGCTCTCTACTCAGTAAAAACAAACCATTGGAGAAGCAAATAATGTCAGTGGGCACCAAGGGAGAGTAGGGGTACCATGTTGTTTGTTAAGGATTTTTTTCTGGAAAAAGAAATGTTTCTCTTTTAACATTTAAAATATTTGCAACCCATATATTTACCAAAAAGTGTATATCCTTTCAAAATCTCTTTCCAATAATAAAAAATATTAAATAGCTAGGTATTTATTAAATGTGCAGAATGCCAATGACTTTCTATAGCCATATATTCTCTTTTTTGAAAGGTATTTTTAAACAAAATTGTTTTTATTTACCAGCAATGAAAATCTCAGATGGGAATAATATGATGGTAATTTCTTTAGATGTACTGTTCCCAGTTCTTTTAAGTGTTAATAGTCTGAATTTCATACTCATGGCAATTGAAAGCTGGGTACATATTATTAACAGAATTGTTCGTTACAGCAATTGGCAATTTATGTTACATTACAGACCATCTGCTTTTTCTAAATATATTTACATAGTTAGCTAATTGAAGCAGCCTGGTCTGGCAGTTTCCACTGTATGGATGACTGTGGAAAAAACATCAATTTTACTGAAAATAATTGGTACATTTCTGGCCACAGGTGGAGTTAAAGTGAATTAAAATCATATTTTATTAGATCAGTTAAAATTACAGAAAAAGCATTTGTACACACATAAACATATATGAAATGCACATCTCTTTATCACATACTCAGCACTCAAATGTGTATCATTTGTTTCAAACAGGAATATTTTGTGGTTAACTGTAATTTAAAAGTCATTCTGGACAAGTCTCTCAAACCACTAATATATTAAAAAATAAAACTGCATTCCAAACAGTTTCCTCTAATGTATGCTGCTCAGTATTGATGTATTGCATTATATTTTATAGAACACTTACAGAGGTTTATTTGTTGGTTGTAGCCTGGATAAATGGATTCATTACAATAATCATTAGCAAAGAACAGTAAAATAATAATTAAAACATCTTATTGGTGAGACCCTTATATTGCAAACCTATGCACATCACCTGGGAGTTGCTGTCATTGAGATCAATGTCATGCATTTCTGAGTAGACATGCATAGGATTCCATAATTAATTTGGCACAACCAAAGGGTTCCAACAGATACTGGTTTTCCTGAACAATATCAGAAACGTTTTCAAAAAATGTATAAAATGTTAATAGTGTTTGTAATATTTCTTTGCTATTTCAGAATTCTTAAACCAAATCCATTATTTGCCAACAAGACATTCACTGAATGCAGATTTTATTAACACAATGACAGATTGTGTCCATTTTATTTTCTATAATTGTATGCCTGAAAATTTTTCTAAAAAAAATAATCTATATTACTGCACATTTGATGCAAATTCAAAAGCTCTTTAGAATAACTGATGTCACATATGCAAAGTAAAATGCATAAAAACAAAGTGAGGGAAACCCTGAGTCAGCAACTTCATAAGCAAGGCACTAAATCTTTCCTCAGTTATTCCTATGCCTTTGTGTCCTTAATAAAATAATCCAGTAGTTATTTTTAAATTTGATAGTACAGACAAGTTTGTGCAGTTTCTACTGTATAGAAGGCATTGGGTGTTCCATCTGCTTCTGCAGAGTTCAGTACTCTATTTCATTAAAATCAGCAGAATATCCAGATGACTGTAGTGTAGTTTCTTCCATTTCTAAGATGACAGAAAAAAATATTGGAAACATCTGCATATTACTTTACAGTTAAAAGTCATTTTGAGCTGTGCTAAGTAGAGGGGAGGGA